ATTCTGAGGAAGGCCGTGTCAAGTGGCCGAAAATTTATTTGTATACTTTACTTTAGTCATCTTTAATAAATTCTTCGATACGTAGCCATCTCTTTGTCGTAATATATATATATATATATATATATATATATATATATATATATATATATATATATATATATATATATATATATATATATATATATATATATACTGTAGACTTTGACCCTTTGTAGTGTTCAGTGTGTGAAAATTATTATCGAGACATTTAAATACTTTGTAACTTCTTAAATCTGTTTATGATTATTGAAAAATGCACGTAACAGTCGCTTACATATTTTTGTCACATCCGATGTTTTGTATGTGATTAAATGTGTTTATAATCTTTCAACTGTGTCTAATTTACTTAAACTTTCTTTCAGTAAATTCAGAATTGACAATAGCAATTAAGGTGGAGTAATTGCTACAACTTGAAACAAAATTTATGCATACTGATTTATGCGCATGTTAATTGCAATGTTTACACATACATTACAAATCACGAGACATTTAATTTTGTTACAAGTTGCATGCAGCAATTCTGTTCCTCGTTATTACTCCAGCTTTAGCAACAATGCAGGCTACCCACATGTAAGCAGCGCGTACTTATTTTTACAAGATGGAAGCACTACAAGCACATGAACGATTTCTCATATTCAACGAAGATTCAAAGCATTTACACTGTGATCGATCAAAGTTGTCTGCATAATGAGTTCAGGAAATTATAGAAGGTGGATGTCTTATTTGCCAATTTTGTAACGGTAAGAAATTTAGTTAGGAGGCTATCACACAGGGCCAGTGAAGTACTTACCATACCCGGTGTATCAATTAGCCTTGGGTGTTCTTTCAGAATAGCACCCACTGATAAATCAGAGTGTTCCCGTATCCACGACGCTCTTTTTACCGACGTTTTGCTCATAAACTCTTTGACTTTTGTGAGTGGCTCGACATGGTGCTTGAGCCACTCCACCATCCCCTCGTAGTCCTCTTCACTTATGCTGCTTTCTGTAAATTTTAATGACAGAAATTTAATTTGAGTTTACTATTATATAAGTACATGAAGTTGAAGTCAGAATGGATATTTTGTCTATATACAACAATATATTCATAACATGGCCGTTACCTGGTAAAGAGGTAAATTGTACCAGCTTTGATTTGGATACTGTTGCACTACTACTTGATATATTTGTTTTATTTTTTTCTTGATTTATCCTTCGTCTCATATTTCTTAGTTTTTCTTCCAACCAACCTGTGGCTGAATGCAAACCTTTGCCAGGAGTATACCATGCTTCCTATATGGTGTGATTATTACGCATACATTAGGTGATTATTATGCACACCAAAATCCTAATACAATGGTTTTGTACAAAGTCAACAGTTCTACATGTATGTATGTAGGACATTTAATCATGATCTTACTAGCAATTACACTTACAAATCCCTGGCCTTCTTCATCTTTCAGAAAAGGAAACTCCTCAATGACAGCCCTTGCCATTGCAATTTTTATATCCGATTTTGGTCTGTTATAAAAGAAAAGAACAAGAAGTATATTATGATGCAATGGTCTTCCAGTGATGAGCCAAAAATCTGCCATGAGTAAACAGGAACACCAGAAATCCAAACTTATGTACACCGAATACTGCATAATAGCCAAACCTGTCTCCAAACATTGTCATGAGCTCAGCTACGAGAATCTGAACCATTTTTAGTCTGTTGTTTCTTGAAAGATTTCCACTTCCCAAGTCTTTCAGGATATTTTCTCCAGGTATGGATTTTTCAAGTATTGATCTTATGTTCTACATGTAAATTATGCAATAATATTAATTACTAGTTATTTATGAAATTAAATTGGAATTGAAGGTGCACTACGTATTCTAAAAGGAACTTGTTCTATACGAACTGTATGGAATCACATGGCAGATGCATTACTTTTGTTAAAAATAAATTTGTTATCAGTTAACTTACAAAATCAGGTTTGAATCTCTTTGGTGAAATCTCTGTATTTTCTGAAGGGGATATAGCTGTGACATTTGAAGTGGATGCCTATAGGTGAAATATAACAGCTAGAGTTGTATAAGACAAAAGTAAATATACGTACCGTATAGACAACAGCCTATCACCATTGCAATGTAATGTTAGACATGTCTAACTGCATTCTTCCCGCCATGTCTTATACCAGATTCTTTTACTCCTGCTTATGATAGATGATTATAATTTTTTCAAAAATATAATTTATAATTAATTAAGGAACTTACTTGCTGATTGCACATTATTGGTGGTGGTGCATCTGGTAGTTGTGTGACACTGATAGCTGAGTCCATGGTAAGCACTGCCTTAATTGTGTAACAAATATACCATTTTTAGGTAAGCAATTGGTTTTAATGATATTCAACCCCACACATACTGCCTAATTGTTTACCGGTATTTCTGTCTATACAGTAGATATATGGTGTAAGGGTTACCTAATTATGGAGGAACCCTCATAGTGCTGACCTCATAGGCATGAGTGCATGGTGAATTGAAAACTACATTGTACTGTTAATTTGTTAATATGTATATTAAAACCCATAACTGTCAAGGCAATAATGACAAGGTACCTAGGATGCATTTACATTGTATTCAACCTAATTAGTTAAGGTTCAATAGTGCATGCACCATAGCTACATTGGAATTTTAATATAATCACCAGACTAATTTGTAACTTAAAGTATATACTGTATTATCATGTCATTGAGGTCAACACTCAAGCCAAATTTAAAGTGTACAATTAACAGTAGATCAGGTTGGCGTCAAGTTAACTCTAAGATTAGACCCTGAGCAAACCCACCTTTTTACAGTCAAACCGGATGTTCTCTTTCAAGCAACATTGCAATATTGTCCCACGATATTGCAATTTTGATAGTCAGATTGCTCTAGCAATTTACAACTGACGAGAACAAATGGCAAGTTGAAATCCACAAAATATTTGCAAACAAAGCCCCTGATTAGACTATAAGAAAGAGGAAAGCACCAATCCAGTTGGTCAGACTATTTGATTGGCTTTCCCTCTTTCTTTTGGTATAGTCCAATCAGAGGCTTTGTTTACAAATCTGTTGTGAAGTTCAACTTGCAATTTGTTTGCGTCAGTTGCAATTGCTAGAGCAATCTGACTATCAAAATTGCAATATTGTGGGACAATATTACAATGTTGCTTGAAAGAGAACATCCGGTTTGACTTTAATTGGGTTCAAACTGACCGACGTCAAACCCTCTATGTCATTATCATTACCTGAAGTTAATTTATCCTATAGCGTAAGGAAACATAACTTAAATGTTCCCCTTCTTTATAAGATTTTGAAGCATGGTATGCTTGATGGTCATATAAGTTTTCAACTGGGATGACAGACCAAATTGGATTGACAGCTGGTTGAACAGCATATGTGTGAGTATGGCGATCAAACTTGACAGTCTGCCAGGGGGCAGTTATAAATGATATCTTTGTTCCCATACATAGAATGTAGACAATTAGTTCAAAGATGGGGAAAGAATCCTCTGATTTTGCACTGATTACTAGAGTGTTTTTGCAATATTTGATCCCATTCACAGTTACCCACTTAGCAACAAAAATTTCACTTAGAAGATCAACGCCAATTGCTCTGCTCAAGAACTGCGCTCTTTCTAGAGAAACAACTAGGGTAGAACATCCAGTCCCTATTTCCACATCTCTGTCAACAAGCTCTTTCCCACACATAAGGTTGTAACATAGAAACATTTGCTGCCTGTTAGCAAGTGTTTTAAGAATGTTCCGATAATTACACACGATATGCCCTAGACGCTTGAAGAATCTGTGCTTCGCCTCAAAACGCATTGTCCAATAGTTGATCAGTGGACCTAGTTGACGGATCTGGTGGGGGTAGTGGGTCATGAAATGGTGTTTTGGCTTCAAATGACGATTTGGATACAAGTGCAAAAAGTAACTGTGGTGATCTTTAATTAGTTGCTTCAGAAAAAAGGATTCCTCAACAGTAACTTCTGGGCTGAAGATAAAATCCATACACTCAAGTAGAATTAGGAGAAGTTCCAAATGTTCATTGCCTTCTGGAACTAAGTCGCCAATCATTAGAGGCAGATTTCGAATAAGGCACCACATCTGTGATGCAGTTTGCCCTGTTGCACCATCTGGATTCTGAATCTTATGCTTAGTGATTGGGGATGGCTTGTTTTTCGAATCCGAAGGAGCATAATCAAAGCTAGTAATCCTGCTATTTAACAAGTCCAGGTCAAAGAAACCAGATTGGACTAAATCTGCAACAACTAGATGAACTTCCAGACCAGCAACTCCTTCCAACAAATCATGCATAATATCAGGTGCATAGTTTGTGGTAACATGGAAGTGTTCTACATCATTCAAGAGACATGGAGCTTTAATGCCAGTAGAGGATGGATCATTTAGATCCAGGTCTTCAGTATAGTTGTCATAATCCCGAAGCAAATTTGAGTTTGCTGTTAATGCACGATGCATTTCTACCAGATGCATCTTGCAAGTCCTGCAGCAATGATGGCCAACAAAGCTTTCGATAAAACCACAGATGCCATTCAGTCCCAAGTTGTCACCAGTCACCTGGGCAATACCAACATGGACATCTCCCTCAAACACATCTGTGCTAATGTGTAGTCCCCGGCTTTCCAACTCTTTGATGTCTGTTACAAGTGGTGCCAAAATAGGCTCAAATCCATAAGTTTTAACATCCCCTGTGTTGTACAATGCAACAAGATAGCAGTTACACAATGATGAACGGAATTTGGGTGGTAGATTTAAAATGGTACAATAAATTACACCTATCTTGTGTATCCCTGCCTTTGATCCAAGCGGATTAGCTATTTCGCAATCATCCACATACAAAAGAAGGGCAACATTTCTTCCATTTGAAAAAAAGACATGTCCACGACAGAATTCTCCATTATGGAAATCTCGCATGATGCCATCTTTCCTGGGTTGATATTGCTGTATGCTTCTCATAAATCCTTTGCTTTCAAGTTTGTGCTTAAGCAAGTCTTTCAAAGTATTGTATTGGAATGTCACATGTCTATCTACCTGGTCAACATGATTAGTAACTGGGTTGTGACGGGGATAAAAAGCAGTAGCGAATGGTACTTCCCGTTGTTTTATAAAGTGACCACTCTGATGAAAGTACTTTTCTTGTTGATATGCAGTTTCCCGGTTTTCATATGGACGTTGAGCATTGTCAAATGCTTCAAGAAGTTCTACCCTTTCTGGATCATCCTTTTCAATATCTTTGTTGTCTAACATCTGCTCAGTTTTGGTTTTAAGAGACATGACTACATTTGAAAACAACTCTGAACTTTCATGAACTACATGGTCTATATTTGACTGAACCATACTGCTTGATGCTTTTAATTTAGCTATTGCAGAAGCTGCAAATTCAGTTATTTCATTTCTACTCAAAACTGTTTCAACATTGGGAGGTAAACAAGGTGTATTATTATTGGGGTTAATATCAAATGGATTATTATCTGCATCACCCTCATTATCATTATCACCATCATTGTGAGGACTATCGTTATGTTTGTTCTCAATATGGCGTTTAAAGGCCAGTGAATAACGGAATGTCTGCAAACAACCCTCTTGGCCACATTTGACAGGGACAGTAAAAGCAGGACCCACTGAGAGTGCATGTAGGTTTCTGATATGCCAAATAAGATTCTTACAGCTTCCATTAATAACTTCGTTGCAGACAGAACAAATATAACCCATTATATGTCCAACTGTGAATAATACTGTATGCTACACGTTAACAATAGTAAAATACCTTTTCTTCTTCTAATTTTTTTAACAGCTTTCGTCGTGGACCAATCGCGGTTATCATTTCCTTTATGGAGTCGTGGTCAAGCAACCGAAACGCTTCTTCATCGATCATGTTCTCTAGAAAAAAAATGTAATTGTTATCACAAATTCAATGTAAATCTTTAAAAAATAAACTAATCCAATTTGTTTAAGCTATTGGCACTTATTAAACTATATTTTTTTAAAAACATTGACACCATGGAGACGAAACCCCATTTCGTCCTTCCAGTTTCGTAGCTTCTCCCCCCCCCCCCCGATGAGATTTTATGAACAATACAGTGTCAGGAATTGTTAGTGGATTCGACTTTTTTGGAAAGTTTTCGGCAGACCCTCGAGGGTCAACAGGTGTTAAATTTGTGTGTTTTTATTGCTAGCAAAATATTCAAAGAAAACTTTTTGAAAATTTGAGCAACCTCACTTTATATTTCTCTCAAGTGAGCAAGAAAATGTTGAAACATTGTTCGTTCATATTCAGAAAAAAAAGCAGCAAAAAACAACGTTTAATCACGACCCCTACCTTGAAATATCACTTTCAAACAGGATAGATTCCATTCTTCCAGCTTTTGTTCCACAAAACTATCCATGAACCATATAGGCCTTCAAAAAACTATTTTTTTTCGAGAAAAGTTGTCAAGCAACTAGCATTTGAAAAAAGCAGATGTGAAAAGCCAGAAAGCGCGCGAAACAAATATTCCCGAGTCAAAGTCCCGACAATAGTAACTTAATTCGTATAGGTTTCTAGATGCTTATTGGTCGGCTTGCCCGGGGATAATGTAGAATTACCGGGAAAGTGGGTAGGGGGTAATGTTCCCATAACGGAGAAAGTTTCCAGTCATATTTTTACCATTATTCCTGGTTAATAATACAAGTTTCTCGTTTCGATTTATTTGCTTTTATATATAAATATAAATATGGATTTACTATGAAATGAACCTTGAAAGGTTTAAAAATCTACTAATGGAAAATTGGGAACCAGATTAATTTCTATGATATACAGTCTATGCACTTCGTTGCTCGTTGGAAGTTGGCCATGTGTTCTGACCTTGTCAAAACCCTACGATAAGGTGATTACAATCGATTATATATTTGTTTTATAATCCCATATAGTAGTGACATCTACAGTACAAAATCAATGTTTGTGGACTGTGGTTTTTGTTTTACCTAGCCAATTACTTTGGCAAGATAAGATATTGATTTGATTGTGTTTACTGTACGCAGGCACAATGTAAATATAAGCTCTATATATAAAACAATATCGAGTTTCTGGCTGGTTTATATCTAGATGGGATACATTTTAAACTCAAGGGCGTAATAGGGGGGGGGGGGCATATTCATGTTCACAGAGCGTTAGAACAATCGCTTTCAAAAGAAATGAATGATGCAGAATACAAATATATGAATATCACCCACCCCCCATATCAACTAAAGGTACTATTGATTCGATTCATGACCCCCCCCCCTTTCATGAGTGACATAATAAACATTGTAGTGAATGCTACTCGAGTGCATGGGGATGTATATATTTAAACCTGGATCATAGGGACTCAGGATCTGAAATCTGGGCACATCCAAATTGTTTATTTTGAGCCTAACGTCCTATGACTGCATAACTATGTCCAGAATCAATCCACTATCAAAATTGTTATCTTTCCAATTCATGCTATATTATACTATATATATAGTAACTACTACAAATTACAGAATTGTGGACAAATACTGCACTAGTGTAACAGACGGATAGTACAAATATTTTACAGTTGCTGTTACCATTCAACGGTCGCTTATAATGAATGTCAAAATGTTTTTTTGTCCATGATCAATTAATTTAACTCATAGTACAATTACTTGAGAGAGTAAATTTAGGTCACTTTGAGAACAATATAATATAAAGTGTCTAATAAATCAAATATCATGGTACTGTACAATATCAATTTCCCTAATACAATAGTTGGTAAGGGGCGGTGTTGACACTTAACATCAGATTGAGAAAAAAACCCAAACTCTGACAACAATTTGGGCATGTACACTTGTGGGTGCCACTAAGACAGCAATGCACACAGGCCATGCACCTCCATAGCCAGTGCACCTTTCTTGTTTTTACCCTTTATGCCGGACTATTTTACTCCTGATGGAAGGACACTTGTTGACAGTTTTAGCTAGATGATTTTGATTCCTCTCTAGTGATAATTTCACTGCCGTTTGTTGAAAACAAGCAATACAGTATATACATTTGTGAATTTTGACCTACTTCAGAATTAATAGGGTCATGTGTCAGTAGTAGCACTTGCAGTGCAGTACATATATATTAAGTGAATATAAAATTTTTGTCAAATAATGTGCCGGCTCATGTTCAACAAACCACTGAATCTACACAATAATTGTGAATGTATATTGATAAGCTTATGTTTCAACAAATGAAAATTGATTTAACCCATTAAGCTGCAGAGCTTCCCCATTGACAAGTAAAATCGTCTGGCGTTGAACATGCAAGTAAAAAAAAGTAGGGCGCACTGGGGCGCATTGCCGTTCAATGGGCTAACTGGAGATATTGTCATATTTTTGGTTAACAAAATGCAACGTGTGGTTACGCAAACATCAAAGGTTTGGACGTGAGTCGCCCTTCATCCCACAATATTTCTCTATCTGGTGACAAACTGAAGCTGATTGTTAGTTAAATCCAATGCCTATAAATCATGGCGCTTATATAATCCATTTACTAGCAATGCGTCCCAATGCACCCTACTTTAGTATTTACTCGGTTTAACGCCAGACGATTTTACTTGTCGGTGGTAGAGTACTAACAGTACAAGGGTTACATGTAATTTTCCTAGAAAACCTCTAGTTTTGATGATTATACTGTATGACTGGATTGGCAGTTGTGTCCTAGGAACCCCCTAGTTCTTCACATTCTTTATTCTTGTTACATTTTAAATAAATAAATATCAGGAAGCTCATCATTAAATAAATAAATATCAGGAACAATTGAGCTCAGCTAGGAAAACTGTGCTAAAAATTATATGATAAAAAATTTTCAGATGCTCATGCAGAGAGCAAATAAGTGCATGCCAATTAAATGTGATGTGTACTATGCTTGCAGAAAAAGAGACTGTGATTAGGCATTTGCTCAACCTGTACTCATTAATAACAAACCCAGCCCATCTTGATTATAGGGCCACTAATTAACACTAATGACCTTGAAATTCAAACAGGCCTGCATGTAAGACCATCAATTTGAAAAACCTGTGGCAATAAGGCTTGCATCATTATTGTGCAATAAGAAAATTACAAATATTTAGCATAACAGAGGATGCATGTACAATAAACCTATATGACCTGTTTAGTCAGGTCCTGTCACTGGTGATGTAAAAATTTCAATGTGAGAAACAGAGAAAGGCCAATAACAATTACAAAATGACTGTGAAAACTGAACACGGCATGTTGTTTAATATGAATAAAAGATTAAGGTATCGTAGCCAAAAAAATAGTCATTGAGTTTACAATAGATTCCCTTTGTTTTACAGTAATGTTCATGACATTCCAATTTATTAAATAGTGATGTTTGTCGGCATGCATGCAGGTTGAATCATACATGCATAATATCCAACATTTAAATAAACACAACTTCATAGGCAAGGTTGGTGTATTATATCTTCTGGCGGCTCTACCCAAAATTGTATGCCCCTGCCATATGTCTGATTTCCAACCTATGTACTACAGACAAATACAGTATATAAAATTAAAAATAATTATAGGCTTCTCAACAGAAATTTAATATTTAACTTCTGTCACTCTATAAATCTGTTATTTCATCATCAATTTTCACATGGAACATAACATTTGTATAGTTTTAGTAACATACTGTCTGAGAAGGTAAATGTATATAATCATTCTATATTTCACTTTTTATAGTATATGAAATTAAGCATGCAAAACTCAAGAATACTTGCAAGTGAAAAGTATTCTGACAAAATCTGTGGTTTATGAAATTCTTTCATGCACAATCTGACTTATTTTGTGTGACTCGCTGTTTATAGCAAGTGAAAAGTGCATATATAAGGAGATATAAGCACTGCATTATTTTACCTATTTCCCCGTAAGTGGAAAAAACTGTCACTCCACTCATTTAACTTTTCAAATAAAAATATTATTAACATACAAATCTCCTTACCTAAATAAAATAATATTGTCTCCCTTAACTTTTTCTACAATTTCGCGTGATTTTTTGTTAAATTCATGGTAAAACAAAGGAACTACAACAAGTTGAAACTACAAAAATCGCCCAAAATACGACGCCATTTTGTTTTTGTTTTTTGTTAAATTTAACAAGGAAATTCCTGGTTAAAAATTCCTGGTTAAAAAAATTTACCAGGATTAATTCCTGGTTATAAAATACATAAAATAACCAGGAAATTTAACCAGGAATACTCAGTTAACCCCAAATAGGGTTATTTCCCAATTAACCAGGAAATTTTAACCAGAGTGTTTTTAGAGTGAGGCCTATCACTCTTTGCTGTCTATCAGAAAGGAAAGTTATCCAAAAATTAACTAATTATGGGTTTATGTCTGGTGTCTTAATTAAAAAAAGTTGAAAAAACAGCAAGCAGAAAGCATGGCAAATATATACATTATTTACTATTTAGTTTCCAAACTTTACACGAAGGCACATAATGAAGGCACATGCATATAGCCTTTTAAATCAACTTTATAAATTTTCAAAACATCCCCATTGTAGCGGTAGCAGTTTATAACAATGAGTTCTAAACACATTCAAAACATTTTGCCTGCGGGAAAAACTCACTGACGCCTCTTTTAAGGTGCACATGCGATGTACATTATTTTAAGTTTAAACTTTGTTTCTTTCATATAATCTTGCACGTACATTTCCCCAGTTTATAGCATCCCGTGCACTTCTTTACAGCTGTAGGCTAAACGTTAAACAAATAGGTGTTATCAGTGTTCTCGCTGCGTACTACTATAGAGATTACTTCATGGTTGGCTATTACAAGTGAACGACTGCATGAGCCCAGCGAACGGGTGAGCTTGTAATAATTCACGAGTGAATAAAAATCGTATTATCGAACCAACCATGATGTTATTTGTTTATTATATAAATACTGAGATTGGACTTACGATGAAAAAGTTTCTATGTAATAATTTCTATGTATTTAAAGTTTTCAAAGTTTTTCTGAATGCCTTAATTCTTAAATGTTAAATCGTTGATAATGCTTGCAGCCGGCTGGCCTGAGCCGGGTAGTTTTTAGTGCAAATTTTCTTTAGAAATTGATGATTTCTTTAGACATCATGATGTCGTAGACGACGAAAGCTAAGACGTTTTTAAACTTGGTATATTTTTATAGTTTTAAAATAAAATTTCCGCCTAACTTTACTTAACTTTTAACAGTAGCTTTTGGCCTCACTTGAACCAACAACATTCATATAATGCTACTGAAGGACAATTTTGTAGGTAACAATGAGAAATGGCCACATACTCGTCAAATAAAAATCTTCGGTGAAATCACATTCTTCCACCGTTGGGAATTGAAAATCATTAATTATGCAAAGTTTCTCAATCCAAAAGCACCGTGAATCTGCTGCAAGGTAATTGTTTCGTAAAACGTTTTGATTACGAATGTTCTCTGCAGGTTCAGGGGTTAATTGTACCATGTTTAACGCAATGAAGACGTTCGTATGGTTTCACTAAGACGAAGATTGACGAGTTGAGTGATTTCAACAGGCAATTTTTATTTGACGAGTATGTGGTCATTTCTCGTCGTTACGATTTAAGAACAGTATCATTGAAAAGTTAAATAACTGTTCTTTCGTCGTATGTAAAAATTGAATTGTTTAGCCATGTTTAGATGCACGACAGCGGACAACCTATTGAAATTCCATAGCGTTTTTTTGAGACATCCTGTTTAATAAACATAGTTCCTGCATGGTCATGCATACAAATGATAATACATTTCTTTACATAATAAGTACTCTCTTCCTCAAAATCAATTAACTTCAGATCGCTGATCGTATATCAACACGCAGTATAACTAAAATCCGTGCTGCCTCAACCGGTATCTGTTGCTCAGTCATGGCAAAACCGACCTTACTGCTTTTCGGTGTTGTGCTTTTAACTTCTCTACTCTCTAATTTGGAAGCAGTGAGCCCAGGAGGGTATGTTATATCTATTAATCTGTAGTTGACTAGATTTGAATGTTACGATATCCTTTGATTTATTGTGACTTAGTTTTTGCACCAGCAGCACAATTTTAAATGAGACTGAAATACTGTAAGATAAAGGCATCGAGCGTTTAAATATATATCAATCTTTTCCCTCCCTTCTTTTTCATCTAATATATGTAGTTATGAGCGTTCAAGCCTAGTTTCGATTTCGTCGTAACTGTATTTCGTAAGTGACCGCTTTTATAATTAAGTGTTGATGATTTAGTTCTCTAGAGCCAGTATAAAGATTGATTTATATATACAGCGAACAAAGGACGATCCAGATCCAGACGTCTTTGTCACAACATTTATGACCAAATCGAAACCAGGCTAATTCCCAGCTTGCATATATTTCATTAAGCTCATGGCTATGTAGGTTATTCCTGATTTTACTTCAGCAGTGATTGAAAAGCGCATTACCAAGTTCATGTGCGCGCCGTCCATCAGATGAAGGAATGGAGTATTACAGGTGTATATACTGAGTAAAAAGCTTCCGCATTAAGGAACCATGCATGCAGTGGATTACTCAGCGCCAGCTGAAGTGTACTTTAATAAATAATGTATAACAAATTTTACTCGCCGAAAACAACTTTAGGTCGACAAATTAACTGGGTTTAAAAAGATTCTGTATATTTATGACTATAAGAAAGTGTTCGGGCATGATATGAGCAACATTTTATGAAATAACTTATTAGCAATTATAATTTTGGTGTTTAGTTATAGACTAAAATGGTCAACTAAAGAAAACAAGGGCATGCATGCAGGCTCCTGGCATTTCATAAAATTACAATTCTTTATATGGATTGTCATGTGTATCTGTTTTATATCTTCGACTACATATAAATGATGAAGTTGCATATCTAATTCTGCTCAGCGGGAGGTAACAGGCAGACGTGGCTGCTCTACACCAAACGTTTTGGCAAATATTGGCATATTAAGATATCGTACATCTTTGAATGTTTCGTCTTTTTGGTCAGTTTATTCGAATGAAGCATTTGGTAGAAAGCATTTTTGGTGTGACGCGAAAAGTATTCAAATATTGTAGGTATAAGCTTCTCGAATGTTCAATTCGTGCATGCAAATATTGCGGTACGCAATCTTGCAAAAGAGAACGAAAGTACATTTCTTGGAGAACTGCTTCCAAGAAAGCGATTAATTTCCAAGTAATTGTATATAAGTTCTTTGTATGTTTGCATGGCGATAAAACATATAATAGTTTTGCTTGTGGAAACAATACACGTAAATTTATTACTGCAAAGCTTTCGATCCATATGTCCGTGGATATTCATCAGTGGTAATAATATGTAACTTGTTTAATTAATTCACACGCTCTTTTATATACACTAAGTGTCGTGATCTGTTGATTGTAACGCAGTGAGTTTGTTGTACGTTTGTCGATTTATTCACTAGCTAAATATTAAAATTCTTGTTTCCTTTCGTGTTCACTCAGTCAATTTATATAGGCCTACACTACAAATTTTAGTTAATGGAACCAAAATGTTCCAACTTGACAAGTGATTATATAACCATACTAAACAAAAGCATAGTTTCTCTGCATGAAGTATCAAATTTCATTCTTGCATTCATCCTGTGCGCACGTGTACAGCTTGTCACCAAGCATCTAACAGCCAATAAGAATGATATTTCCATATTTGGAACAAAACTGACCAATAAAAATGCGCACATTTTAATGAGGATACTTTCAAAGCAGTAATGAGACAGTTATTAATTACAAAACTATATATATATATATATATATATATATATATATATATATATATATATATATATATATATATATATATATATATATATATATATATATATAGGAATCATCAGGTGGTGAGTAATTTCGAAATTGTAGGTTGCTTTTATGCTATCGAAAAATGTGCGGAATGCGTGTAGGCGAAACAATGCTTACGCGAAACAATGTATGCTTGGGTCATTAGCTTTTGTTAATAACCTTGTTTACTCGAAACCGGTTTTTGTGACGACAATTGCCGAGAATTTCCCTTCTTTTATTGAGTAAATTGTCTTTGTTTATGTCTTTCAAAATGCAAAATTTTTCTTCTAAACATAAATTGCAGCATTTTGATCCCCCTGTGTACAAAATAGCGTGTTTTAAAATTGACCATTTGATGGTATAATCCTGATTGTTTTCTTTTAATTTCCAAATATGTTTCGAAAGCTCCGTTTTGTTTGAGTCTTTTTTATGACGAAAAGATGAAGTGTGGTTAGCGTAATGTTCCTTAAATGTAGTCGCTGTCATACCGATGTTGAGTTTAGTGTCGTTCGTGTTGTTCGTTGTGACTGTGGCTTTGTAAATAATGTTGTTGGTCATACATTGTTTCGGTAGTGGGCAAGTGTTTTGTTGTTACAGTTACAGTTGTCAGTTTCCGTATTCTGTGATTGACTTTTCCTATAATTATATATGTGCGTTGTGTTTGGTGATTATAGACTTAACGTTGTTCATGCAACTGTAGTTACTTTTAAAGTGTTTCTGTTGAAAATCTTGTGAAGTTTGTGCTGCAGTGACTGTAGTGGGAAGTGTTTGTCAATTGAACTTAAGAATTCCCGTCCTATGTTCGTGTTAACACTCTTACTAAATGGTGGGTTGAACCAAATTATGTTGCGTTGCCTATTCCTGTAATGTTATATGAAGTACATATAATAATATGTGAGCCTGCAGTACAAAAACAGTATAACACAATATTACAACTCGTTTTTTAATGATAATCTGGGTGATTGCAAAAAAACTTGGAATGGTATAAATACTATACTATCCAAGAATAAAAACCTTACCCATACGGAAAAAGTCGTCGTTGATGATGCTGTAATCAATGATCCGCTCGGGGTAAGCAATGCTTTCAATAGGCACTTTACTGGCATAGGACCCAAACTTGCGGCAAAAATCCCAGTTAATTTAAACGCAAACTATGACCATATTAACAAACCTGAAAATGAATTTGAACTTCTAATAGTCAGTGAGTTAGTAGTTTCAAAGTTAGTTGAGAAACTGTCAACGCGTAAAGCCAAAGGTCTAGATAACATTCCAGCTTGTTTGTTGAAAGCAAGTGCGCCAACCACGATAAGCTCGTTGACTTACATTATAAAGTTGATAATCCATACTGGCACTGTCCCACATGACTGGAAAAGAGCTAGGGTTACTCCTATTCATAAGGAAGATTGCAAAATGGACCCCAAAACTATAGACCTATATCTGTATTATCTGTGGTTGCAAAATTATTTGAAAAAGTGATCTTTGATCAAACTTATGAATTCCTATGTAATAACAATCTTCTCTCAAATGCCCAATCTGGTTTTAGGCCTTTGCATTCCACTTTAACAGCACTGCTAGATATCACTGACAAATGGTATTCTACTATGGACAATGGTTTAATCAATGCTATACTTTTTATTGACTTAAAGAAAGCTTTTGATACCATTGACCATGAAATTTTTCTAAATAAATTATCTCGATATGGTTTTAAATGCAAGACCATTGAACTTTTCCGTACTCAAATAACTGTCGTTAACAATATCCCATCTGATAGCTCAGATATTAGATGTGGGGTTTCTCAAGGATCCATTTTAGGACCATTGTTATTCCTGTTGTACATTAATGACCTACCAAATTGTAACTTGATACCCGATGAACATCTATATGCTGATGATACTACATTGACATATGCGGATAACGACATTAATCAACTACTCTCCGTAATGGATAGTGATTTACTTTCGCTTAGAAATTGGCTTAACATAAATAAGCTCAGTCTAAATACACTTAAAACAAAATGTATGTTCATCGCAACTCGACACAAATTAGCTACCTTACCAAGTCAACCAACATGCAGTGGCCATGGATGGCAATATCATTGAGCAAATTATAAAATACAAATGCTTGGGCTTGGAGCTGGACGAGTGCTTGATGTGGGATGAAAATATTGCTCAAATTACCTCAAAAATTACCAAAATAATTGGAGTTTTAAGGCGATTAAAATCATATCTTCCGCGTCGTATCCTAACTTTAATCTACAAATCCTTGATTCAACCACATTTTGATTATTGCAGTAGTGTTTGGGGTACCTTGGGTAAGGTACTGGCACAAAAACTCCAACAATTGCAAAACAGAGCCGCTCGTATTATTAATGGTTCTCACTATAGTGTCCGCTCACACGAGGTTCTAAGTAAATTAAATTGGTCAAACCTAGAAGAAAGACGATCTCAGCAATTTAAAACGCTTATGTTTAAAACAATGAATAAGATGGTTCCATGCAGATTATCTTTCGGATAAATTTACGTCCGTTAATCTGGTTCACAACCATAATTTACGAGACTCTAGTTCTAAACAATTCGTCCCTAGACCTCAGGCTGAGGCTCTCAAAAAAAGCTTACTTATCGGGGAACTGTTCTGTGGAATAGCTTGCCTGTGGAAGCGATTAATGCTAAATCAATTGCTGAATATAAGTCTCATATAGCTTAGTTTATAAATGACTTCTCTATAATTGTATATATTTAATTGTATTAATCTAATTATAGGCTACTTACTTAATTGTTTTTATTATAGCTATAGTTATCTACATATATTTGGTAGTTGTGCACGGCTCGAGAGAAGAGCACACTATGTGAGTTGGACTCCGTGTTTTTAAATAAAATCCTAATAATAATAATAAATAAATGGCAGCCATATTTGTAAATCTTGATCTTACAATAACGTAACGTTCTAAAACATAACATGGTGGCAGCGGGAAGTTAAATAACATGGAAAAACCTACTTCGTCTGATGCCAAGCCTCAACAAGTACAATTAACGAGGATTTCGCCACCTAAACCGCTTCGTATGGTCGGTGATAATCTTGCTGAAATCTGGAGACTTTGGAAACAGCAAGGGGAAAATTACGCCATTGTAGCATAACTTGACAAACGCCCAGAAAAGTTTTGTACCAGGAAAAAAAATAAACAATGGTCCTGTTAGTCTGCGAATGTGGAATTCATCAAAGATGCAAGCTGTAGGGACATGCCGTTTGAAAGTCAATAACCCAAGTAAGAACAGGAAGTATTCTATAGAATTTGTGCTCGTATAGATAATGATGATTTGACTCCTTTGTTGGGTTCTAAAACTTCACAACAGATGGGGCTCATAAAAGTAAACACTGACATGTTTGTTTGCATGATGAGTTTGCATGTTTGCTATTCGAGATGTGTTTGCTGACATATTTGATGGATCTCTTTGAACATTCCCTGGACAGTTTATTTCGAAACTGATTCATCAGTAACCCCATCTATTCTACCACCTCGACGAGTACCTCATGCTATAAAAGACCAGTTAAATGGAGAGTTAGATGATATGGTCAAAAAAGGGATTTCGAGCCCGGGCGAAAAGCCCGTATAAATATAAATATATAGTATATATATATATATATATATATATATATATATATATATATATATATATATATATATATATATATATATATATATATATATATATATATATATATATATATATATACCGGGTGGCCCAAAAAAAAGTACTCGTGTTTGATTCGTAATAAAATCTAAACAAGTATAGCTTTTAAAGAGAAATAACTTGCATCAAATAGAGGAAGGACTAACTTAGACTTTGATATATTACAGTTGTATTTCACTTAAAAATTCACGGAGATATTAATCTTTAAATTCGGGAGGATATTTCTGGATGTGTCTGAAATATGCAAAAATCGACGTATCAAATATTAATCAAGATTTGCCCGACTGAAACATGCACTATTACCAGTAAATAAATGACACTTGACAAATTGTTTATTATGAAACAAAGTATTATTATATCTACAAAATACAAGCAAGATTCATTCGTCCGAAATTCGCGTGTGTTCCTTATTTAAGAATACGAAAAATTTAAGCGCCTGCCTTCCATGGTCAGTCTTTCATGTACATTTAAGTTTGCAAAGACCTAATGTTAAATACTTGCATAATTTCGAACGTTCATATTTCAGGAAACAATGAGCTAAGACTTACATGTAAGATGTCTAAATCTACGCCATATCCCTTACAAACCTTAACGATAATTCGCTGAAATACAAGTTAGCCTAATATGTCATTAAACAAACAAACGCTGGAGTTAATATTTGATATGCCGATTTTCGCTAATTTTAGACACATTCCAAAATATGCTCCCCATTTTTAACATTAATATTTCCGTGAATTTTTAAGTTAAATACAACTGTAATATATCAAAATCTAAGTTAGTCCTTCCTCTATTTAATGCAAGTTATTTCTCTTTAAAAACTTTACTTGTTTAGAAGTTATTACGAATCAAACAGGAGTACTTTTTTTTGGGCCACCCGGTATATATTTATATATATATATATATATAATATGTAATAAAGATATTATAAGATATATATATATATTATAATATATATATATTATAATATATATATATATATATATATATATATATATATATATATATATATATATATATATATATATATATATATATATATATATATATATAAAGAGATAAAATTTCAGTTTTTTTGAAGCAGTTGTATATATCATTCACGTAAAGAAGAAAAAGTAAGGGTCCTAACACTGACCCTTGGGGAACTCCACATAAAACATTTTCTTCACTGGAGATATATGAGCCAACTTGCGTTACTTGATAACGATCAATTAAATATGACAAAAACCATTCATTTACGGTACCACGAATCAGGAGTCATAGTAATTAGTGTTGTAATTTTCGTAGTAATATTGAGTGATCTACTGTATCAAATGCCTTTTTCAAGTCAATAAATATACCGCACGAATACAATTTTTTGTCCATATTAGTTTGTATCTGATCTATTATGTCTATAATTGTGTATTGAGTGGAATGCTTCTCACGATAGCCAAATTGTGATTGAAATAATATATTATGGCTAAATATTTCTTGATTATACATTAAATATTGAAAGTAAGAATATTGGTCTATAATTGAAGGGTCAGTTTCATCATCATCTTTCTAGACAGGAATAGCTTTAGCGTATTTCAGTTTTGAAGGATAAATTCCGCTGTTTATTGATGTATTCAATAGTTCTGATAGTGGCCCACTTAAAATGTGTCTTGAGAATTTAATCTTGAGAAAATTAATCTTGAGAATTGCAGGCAAGAATAAAGACCATATGCTTTTTTTATTGGTATTGACATAATTTCTAGTTCAATTTCGCTAGGGGTTACCGGAAAAAAAAGCAAACGAGCCTGGTATAGATTAAGTACGTACTATGTACTTATATTTGTCTATAACATTTAGGGGTCGCTGTTTTTGTGTTAACGTTGTTTGAATCTGGCAAAGTTAATAAATAAATTAATTAAATTAATTATGTTCTTCTTGCTCAAAACTGACCGTCCAAAAAATACCGTGGGTTGCCTGTTTAAAAGTTACCATCCATAGGACGATTGGACGGTTGCCTGGCTAAATGCCTGCTGCTCTGATTTAAATATTGATAGAGACACCGCCAAATAACGCATACGCAGCAGTCCCTTACATCAATAGCGTCACCCAGCCCCTCAAGAGGGTTTTTATAAAGGTATATGTACCAAACCCATTCGAAAGGTTTCATTAAGGTATGTATACCAAACCCAGCCGAACATTAGGACAAGACTTCCTTTCCCCCAAAGCCTCTAGAGACCAACAGCCAATTGCATACAAGAACCGTTGTCTTCGGATACCATGGACATTACTAAACCACGAAACAGCGAAACAACGAAACACCAAACGAAACAGCGAAACAACACGTTTTATATTATTTTTAGTAAAATAAATAAACTACATATAAGTCAAACTAGAACGAAGTTAGATGAGATTAAGTCCTTAAAGTTGCAACGCCATCAGCACATAATAGTCTCACGTATTATTAATCTTTATTATTGGGAGGATGCAGGAAACTCTTCTACTTTTCGAGTATCAAAGTTTCCTCTGTTATAATTTTTTTGAACTTTTCATGTTGTTTTGACATTAAATTTTGGCTGTGAAACGAGAATGTATGTGGATATGGGAAAAGGAGTTTCCTCCCTTCCCGATAATTATGGGCTGATGGCGTTGTAACTTAATTAAGGATTTAATTTCATCTCGTCTAACTTTGACTTAAATGTAGTTTTTTCCTTTTACTATAAAAACAATATAAAACGTGTTGTTTCGCTGTTTCGTTCGGGTGTTTCGTTGTTTCGCTGTTTCGTTTCGCTGTTTCGTGGTTTAGTAATGTCCGGATACCATGCAGTAATTGGAGTTATATTGGCGCGCAGGTTGGAGTTCGAGTACGCGGTTCCGACGGAGATCGTATATACGATCACGCGATTGACAAGGAAAAAATATAGATAAGAGGACATTAAGGTTACAGAACACCTTTGAGTGTTAATTTTGCCTAAAATTTTTTTATTGGTTTCCATGAAAGCATTAGACTAGTTCTACTATCTGACCAAGTTTGAACGAAAAATGTTGAAAACTCGCAGAGTTATTTAATAAAATACATTTCATTGCAATAAGAAAAATATTGAAAATGTAATATTCAAATTCAATTTTCTCCCGAAGAATTTTACGGTAATTACTGATTTTCAAACGAGTTGTTCTCCTGCGGGTTTTAACCAATTTTTGTCAAATTTTCACAGGATATAGCTAAAGACGTCAGTTTCAAAATTGTGTTCGGCTTTTTTTTAATTTTGGATATTTTAATAATAAAGAGCAATTCACTCAAACAATTCAGAAATATATTGCAGTCGTCAAAGAAATCGGCATATCATGCAGCGGAATGACGAAATAAACAAAAATTTCCGAATACAATTTTTTAGAACAACTATATTACTGTATAAAATGATATTTTCATAAATATAACTTAAAACCAGCAGGAGCATAACTCGAAAGCGTAACGGTACAGCGATTTAAGATTTTCCTGAATAATTCTTACATTGTTTTATTGTTTGTTAATTTTACAACTTTACCATATTTTGCATGCACTGGCGAACATTTGGTGAGAATTTGATTAAAATCGGACTGATATTGAGCGCGCAGTAGCGATTTTCCGCAAAATGCCAAAAAGGGTGTCCTGTAACCTTAAGAGATATTTGAAACTTGGCACAGAGCAAAAACAGAAGAAGCTGATAACAATTGAACACTACGCTATTCTTCTAAACAAACAGTGAACGTCATGCATTATCAAGTCATTATACAGACAATATTGAGATAATAACATGATAATCCCTACCTACGTATGTATTAGCTTAGATTAATTCATGATTGAGTCGGTTTTCTTTGTGTACCGATTTTTAATGATCACCTTGAATATTAGTTAGCTGAAAAAATGAATGAAAACTCAGACGAAAGAAACAGACAAAACTTTGTTGGAAAACCTCCTCAATTATGAATTAAATATAATAAACACCTCGAAAGTCGGGTTTTATGTCTGACATAAATCCCTCCTTGTCGGTGTTTATCCCACACTTAGGCCATAGTTTTACAGTGTGTAAAAAAAGGTGACAAAGATAATCCGACGTTCTCGTGAGTGCACATATTTCATTTTTTATATTAATCAAGATGAGAATCTTAGCCTTTTAGTGACGACACCTTTTTGTACCATTCCAAGCAAAAATTACCAAATACGAACCGATTAAAAATTGTCAGTCGCAATCACATTTTTCCACCTTTGCGCATGATTAAAGCGCTTATGCAACGAATTTTTTCGCCATTTTTGTATGATTGATTGTAAAGAAATTTCAAATTGACCAAATAGGATATGTTGCTAAACTATCTTAACTTGTAATTAAGGGTTACTATATGTTACCAGAACGTTTCATTTCTGTTAAAGTTTTTATTATTTTGCTTCGTTCTTGAGATATTTTAACAATTTTTTGACATGCAAATTATCCTCACTATGACGTCACATTGCATAATGATGTTCTAAAACATTTAGGATCTTGAGATATCGCGTGCATCGCAATCATTAACCCGTTCGGGAGTGCTATGTCAACATACTACAAATGGTAACCCACCCCAAGCCATGACCAAGATTCGACTCTACGAGATCTGGGTGGATCTATCCTTGTTATAAATCAGATGGTAACCAGTTTCGAGATCCATGACATAAAGCCATGAAAATATTTCAATGTATGTTTCAGGTCGATGTTTTCGAGCTTTGAGTGCGTTCTTCTATTTCGTGGCTCTGGACAAATCAGGTCGTCCCATCAAAGTTCCCGCTCTGCAGCCACAGTCAGAGGAGGAAAGACAGAGATTTGACGAAGGCAAAGCTCGCTACGAGGCTAGAAAACAAAGAAGGCTAAGCGTTAAATAGAACTCTTGCAGTTAGTGCAAATTAGTATACAAGCATGTAGTGCTCATTTTGTCGCTAATTTCTGGTATACACTCTATAAAACACTCTAAATCTTTTTGGCTAAATATTTCCTGGTTAATCTATGGAAATAATCTTGTTTGGGTGAACATGGTGTCCAAGTTAAATTTCATGGTTAATTTAACCTTTTTCACTTACTATGATCTTAGCTTAGGCACGTCCTGGTTAAATTATAACCAGCCTATGTTAGGTGGATAAAAATATAACCTATATATGTTTTACCGTGCCTGTATATAGGTATAATCAAAGTCCCCTGGTTTTTTAACCACCCAACATAGTCTGATTATTTTAACAAGGACGTCTTGGTTAAATATAACCATTAACCATTTACATTGTAAAGCATACAAATACAGTTTAAAATGATATTCTCTTATGCACCATTTTACAATGAAAAAAATATATTGGACATTGAAAAGTAATTTCATGATATTAGACAGAGGAGACACAAGACAAACAAGTCAAAGTAGAGTCAATACTCGGTTTAGCATGGGGAAATTGGAAAAACTGACAAACTTTTTATATATATATATATATATATATATATATATATATATATATATATATATATATATATATATATATATATATATATATATATATATATAAAATATTCTCCGAAAGTCTATATTTTTGCTCTTCGACGCGAAAATGGCAACTCAAGAAGAAATGAGCCGCTATTTTTGGTCAGCGTCGACAAATTGCCCACCTGTTGGGATTATCATTTTTTATCATTTTCATAATTTCCCCAGGAGGTTGGACAGCAGGCCGCAAAGCATCATGGGTATTGAGCGCCTAATTCCGCGCGTGACTTCATTGACTGTTGACCCTGCTGTTGACGGTCGAGGAGTGAACATCTCTCTGACTAAACCAATATGGAAGCTTTCGAACGACAAGAGTGTCAGGCTGCGATACTTTGTGAAAAGAAACAGCATGTTATTGCTGTATTATATATATATATATATATATATATATATATATATATATATATATATATATATATATACATACATACATATATATATATATATATATATATATATATATATATATATATATATATATATATATATATATATATATATATATATATATATATAATTTATATATATATATATAATTTATATATATATATATATATATATATATATAATTTATATATATATAATTTATATATATATAATTTATATAAGTTTATTTGACATTCGTAATATTAGACATTCGTAAAATAAATATATTTGACATTCGTAAAATAATTTGAAAATATTTGACATTCGTAAAATAAATAAATGTTTCAAACCAGAGAGCGTCTGAGCACTGTTGTTAGAAAGTAGCTTTCTAAAGTAGCTAACGAACGAGTCCGCTGATCACTTTTGTTTCCGAAAGTCAATCACAAAACGTTCTCCCGATTATTTAGTAGGTACTTACCCGTTCTATTGTAGAACCGTCCTCATCCCCACTTAATTTTATATTCTGAAGCTGGAGAGAAGAGCAAATAACTCATTGTCTCGAGCAGGAGTCGAACTCAAGCAGGAGTCGATCTTCAGGTTTCCAGACCGCCGCTCTACCCATTGAGCTATCAAGTCAATCTGGTGGTGGTGGTGGTGGTGGTGGGGGTCAAAACTGAACCTCACAAATAATTGTAGTTATGTATTTATTCTTGCATGTTTTATACAGTGTAGAGGCCTGTAAAATCAGTATTTACGTTGTCCATGCAGTTTGTAGTCCGTAATATGTCGTGTTTTAGTGTTAGATAGATGGACTTAGTATGGGATTCTAGTTCTGTTGTCCAATCCTTCAATCATAGCTGTATGTGTATTTTTTATATAATATGATTGTAAAGTTAATTAAAAGTCAGCAGGGATTGGTAGCGAGTTTTATGCAATTTTAAGTGCACGAAATATTTTCACGACGATTTTCCGCCAGTCTTTGAGGACTTGCAGTGTTTCAAACCTATTTCAGAACCATCCTCAGAGATGCGAGAATGCTAGAAACCAGACTGGCTGACTGAAACTTATACGTTCACACTACACGGGAGAGAAATAATAATGAGGCAGAATTTTGGATCTATTCTAAAGCTATACCCGAGTGACAGACGAGTACAGAGGAGTAACTGACGGCAACAGACGAGTAAAATTGGGAGTAAGTAAACGGGGAGTGGGGAACGAGAACTGGGACGTCCCACAACAGCGGAGTGGGAGAACCACATAACCGTATGGAATGGGAAATGGCAGGGTTGTGGAATGGAAATGTGGGAATAGGCTAGCCGAAGAAATTTGGGGTAAAAGGTAAACAGGAAAAGAGAAATATGTGCAGTGTAACACTAGTTTTATTAAGTTCATTGGAAATTAAAGACGTTTGTAGCTTGGTGCTTATTTATAAAGAATTTTAACATTAGAATGTACAATTCAATCAGTTTTGATATTTATGTGCTATTTAAAACATGAGCAGCAGTGTTTTATCAGATATAAAGATACGAGGCGAAGCCTGTATCTTTAGGTCTAATAAAACACAAACTGCGAATGTTTGAGGGCCACAAGTTTATCAGTTTCTTACTGTCACGTGTTTACCCTCAGTAAATAAAGCCTTTCACTTTCACTTTCACGAATGTTTTAAATTGTTTAAACGATTGATCTAGTAAGTTCATTGGCGAAGTGATTTTCAAAACATACGTTGTGTAAGTCGAGAAAATCATAGTTAAAGTTTATGTAAATCAATGGAAATCTCTATCACATATAAAGATACGACACGCTTATGATTTTTCTATGTGTTCCTCATGAATTATTAGAATTATTTTTGAAAGACATTTTTATAATAGATAGGTCAGTGACGGTGAAAACGCTTGCAATTGATCAAGATATTAATATATTAGACACAATTATACTGGTTCTTAATAACAATGTATTTAAAATTCCCAGCCGTACGTGCTATGTCTTGAATAAATATGGGATACGTTTTCCCATATTTTGAGAATATAATAACAGATACTGAAAGGTAATATGGTACCAATACAACTCAGCCTCTTAGTCAGGCCTAAACATTAATTATATAGAGAATAATACATGGGTGCGCGGAAATACCAGATTTATTTCTCGTGTTGAACATGATATCTTACGAGTGAGCGCAGCGAACGAGTGAGATATCATGTTCAACACGAGAAATAAATCTGGTATTTCCAAGCACCCATGTATTTTTCTGTTTATTATATAAACAAAATTCAGTGAAAAACAATAAAACGTCCGTGGCAATGCGTTTTACAATAAATGATATTTTCACACGTAAAAATATCGTATTTTTTACGTGTGTTTAAACACGATTTTTCTCAGTGGCCAAAAACTCTATATCACACTTATGTTTATATAATAAATAGTATTATCTTGACCAAAATTTATTTAAGAATGCCATCTGATCATTTAGTCTTTTTTCCTCATTACCTGTTTTACACATTCTACTGTCACAGTTTAATGATATTCAGTTGTGTAACTCGCGGAATTTCCTGTCCCCCCATGGTTAATGCGCATGCGCGAAGCAAAAGACCGTGTCATGTGTTTTTTTTGTCTGAAAGCATATAGGAAAATAAAAAATTTGGACACTAAAACTACGATTTTAAAGAATATATCCATCAGGAATGCTGGACTTACACAAATTTTACAGGAAGGGATGTCATTCTAAATTTTCCACAAGAAAATGCCTTTAAGAATCGGTTGATATCGACAAAAAATGAAATTATATGACTCGAGGAGTGAGAAGTGCCATGGCCCATGACGTCCATGCTTCAAATGTGAATACGAAGAACAAAGACAAAGTTTCAGAAACTATAAAAAGGTGTTTCCAACGTAAAGTCACATCGAAAGCATGTAAACTTTTAGCACTACATCCTAGGAATAACGATGTATGTTTGAAAATATTGTTTGGTTTTTGGTTAACACTTGAGCCTGAAGCCTCGAATGATGAAGTTTAATTTTCGATTGTTCGAACGTCAAGAACCCTTGTCAGTTTCGGGTGAGTTTCTTACTGTTCATGTTGTTTTGGCTGTTTGGCATGGAAGTTGCAGGATAGTTTGGACTTAGGTTTATAGAAGGCTATATTTTAAACCAATGTAAAATTTATTTTTTTTACTTTTTTTAAGTTTAACGCCGGTTCCTGTAGACACGAAGAACATAAACTGTGGAGATTTTAGCCACTACAAATCAATTTATATCAAACATGTTTATGTTCCAGGACGAAGTTACCACGAAGAGGAATTGTGTTTTTACATGTAAATGTTTAAAAACAAATGACTTTACAACATTCTAAATGGACAACTATATGGGAAAGGTTGGATGTTTGGTTTTCTTCAATATACAGTAAAACAAAATGAGTTTTTAGAATTTAATGTAGAGAGTCTAATATTTAATATACAGTAGTATCATATTATTTTTCAATCCTGTGTAATCATATAAAAGTTTAGGTACAATTACGTACTAAATAGTATTATAGTAAAATATATTAACGAAAACTAAATGCCTATTAATCTGTTTTGTTGTGAAATTTGTCTTTTATATTTTGAACTATTAAAAAATTATGTGTTCCATACAAATGTGTATTTAATGTGTATGAAAATACAGTTTTTGTGGCGTGTACATTTAGCTCTGTCGCCTATGTGGTATATGTATGAAAGGCTGCGAATGTAAACAAAATACTTGCATTTACAGTGATGTCATTAAATAAAAGGTATATAAATATTATTTTCAGACTCTGGGCTGAGCACCCATACTGTAAACCTCCGAATATATGCCCCCCCCTGTGTACTAATGCTCACTTCATTCCAAATATAAGCCCCCCCCCCAAATATAAGCCCACCTGTTTATCACTATTGTTTATCACTTAATTACCACTATTTATCACTACTACTATGCTTGTTTATCACTATTACTGTACATGTTTATTACTATTACACTAACACAAAAAATCATCCATGTATAAGCCTCCCCCTTGTATAATCCCATCAAAAATCGCTTACGAAATAATATAAGCCCAGGGCTTATAGTCGGAGGTTTATGGTTCAGTTCCATCAACTAGTACTACCACTGTGACCATCAACATTCCTTTAAGAATTTGCGGGCTCAAACTCATGCCGGCGGCCATTTTTCGGGACGAATAGATTAGGTCATCTGGAAAGTGTTTACAATCCATCATATATTTAAACCATCCTTTTATAAATAAATCCTTGCTCTTTTTGTCTGATTTTTATGAGAAATGTACCAAACAAGTATTTTTATCACTATTTGATGTATTGAGTAATATGTAAACAATAACAAAAGCCCACAATGCATGATCGACCCTGACACTAATCCTTTAAATGTTCAAGTACAGAGTCTTCAAATTCAGTTAATGATGATGATTAAGTTACAGGTATTACACCAGGACTTCTTCTTCAAAAGATCTCCTGCAAAAAATATTTTAACCAATTAGATTTCTGAACAGCTTTAAAAATGAATTAATCAATGTCCCACTAATATTTAGGTCCATCCTCAAGACCAATGTAAATTTATTCTGGAACACAACATAATCCTGTTGAACCTACTAATCAAGGTTAAGCTTTTTTAAGGTCATTTACTATATAATTTTTTTGTTGAACATAATTCAACTGTTCTGCTGATCAGTGGCATAATGTTATTAAATAATAAAAAAAATATCAGGGGGCCCCCAGTTAAAAATTTTCGAAGGTCCCCCTAGTAGAAGTGCCAAAAGCACGAGTCGAGTGCCATATCATGCACAAGTTTTAGGGGGTCCAGGGCATGCTCACATGGAAAATTTTTGAATCTAGACTCTCTGAAATGCCATTTCCCAGACTTTGGGGAGAGATTTTACAGACTTCTGATGGTCAGAAAACGACATTCTAACATATCAGAAACCCTGGCCAATGATTTTGCTCTACAGCCTGAGCCTGGGGGCCCCCATTTAGCCCATTGGGGTTGGGGGCCCCCGGGTTCACCCGGTCCGAGCCCATAGTAGTTATGCCACTGCTGCTGATTCAGACACATTTCTGGTGACCAGCTTGTCAGCCTTGTCAGATCCTTGTCCAGGTACTCAAAAGAACACCAAGAAAGGACCTGTAATGGACGAGAAAGACTACAAGCATGAGGAAGTTGAGAAGAATTTAATGTCCATGAATGCACTGACATATGTTGCAGGATACCTACTGCGAAAATGCCTGGACAAACAGAAATGCCTTACTTGTGCACATAAGCTTACCCTGACCAACAGCAGCCAGCTACTGTGCTATTTTAAAGCTTATGAAAACAAGAGCACTGACTCTGGAGGACTGACTGGTCCTCAAGATGAATTTATTCAGTATGTCACTAAAATAGAGAGCAAAGTTGTTGATTAACTTAGTTGTTATATCCAAAGATCAAAAATTGCAGAGCACATAATTGCAAAATTGCCAATGTTTTGTGTATCAGAGTGTTCTTATTTCCCAAGCATGTACCTCATTGAGTTATTTGTAAAAATGCGTTTGCATTGCATTTTAAAGTTCAACAACCAAGAATTAAGAGCAAGAAAGACAGGAAAAAGAAAAAAACAGAAAGTATATCAAGATTCAGCACTTATGAAAACTGAATGAAAATGAATTATGTTGAATTTAATATTTCAATATTGTTGACCGACAGACTGTCTTGGATTGCGTTGAGTGACAGAACTGTATTGAGATTTGAACATTTATATTTATACTACATGTTAACCTTAAAATGGAGAATGGTTTACATATCCAAACCATGACTTTGTTACTAATAAAAAGAGAAACAAGACATTTACATGCCAGTTTGTTTAGTTGATAATCAGTTTCGAAATTTTATGCAGCAGCTATGACAGCGCTCCGAGTCCGAGCCTCGTGGTATTTACACTTGGTTATTTGATTTGCAATTTCTAACGAAAGAAATTTGATATGAAACAACAATACATGTTATATAAAACACTTACCATTGGCTTGCAAAATTTTAACCCCAAAACCTCCATCAAGTACACAAACTTTGTAAAATTAGCATATTTCACCGTTCGAATGCTGTTTCCCTTATGTTTTTGTATTGAAATCTGCAAGCGACACGGTCTTTCGCGATTTCGTGACGCGACAAAAATGACGCGAGCATTCGATTCTTGGGGACGTCGTAATCAATACTGACGGCCGCGAGTTACACAACTGAATATCATTAAACTGTGGTGCGAGCATGAGAAAAATGGCGCAATCTGATTGGTCGAGATGTTCGCCTAATTGGCTGTCCAACCTCCTCTGATCCCACGGCAGATCCATCGTGGGATATTAGCTATAGTATCCCACGCTCACGCGTGACTTGTGGACACCACGCTCTGAAACAATATGGCGGCCGTTCGCGAGCTGTTGTTTGTATAAATTTCGTACAGAAGATTTGATTTAACCAAAGATTTCCAAGACGTATGTTACCTTTAATGATCCAAAGGATACATGCTCAAATATTTTAAAGAGGAAACGTCAAAAACTCAGGTATACAAAAGAAACTAAAAATTGTATTCGCGTAGTTAATATTCAGCAAGTTTTAAGGGACCGTTGACAAATAGATTTCGTCCCGCATCGCGGACTTGGGCCGCGATGGGGGGAGGGGGGTAGATTAGAATCCGCGATTACAAAATATTTGGGACGAAAACTGACTTTAGAAATATAATACGAAGATCAGAAGAAAATGTAGTACATTCTAAATAATATACTCACAAAAAGTTCGGAGGCAAAAAGCGGACAAAGCTCAACAACAATACTTCGTTTGATATTTACATTTCGAAGTACATAACCTATGCCCGAACCCATTACGGTTAATTCCGATTTGATATGTGTTGCCGCTGGAATAACTGATCGCGGCCGAATATTTTGTGTTGACTTTTCTGACTAAGTTCGCAGTTCGACACAACCTTTCTTTCGTTCAATCGGGGATATAAATATTGCATTTGTGGACAACAAATCGGGTATTTATTTAAATTTTATGTTGCTTACAACTGCTAACCAATACGAAAACTAGTTTTATTTATTACAAGCTGATTGTAATGTTAAAAGTCAGCATTACATACTGTATTCTTGCCTATAGTAGACCGCTCACACTCATATTTCGGATAATATTTTGGACCATAATTTCGATTCTCTTTGGGTTTTTTACTTGTCCGCGATGAGGTAGGGGGGGGGGGGAGGGGGTTCAAACAATCGCGGCCCAAGTCCGCGATGCGGGACGAAATCTATTTGTCGACGGCCCCTAAAGTGGAAGTCAACTCCGTAATGTAAGCAAACGGTTTGTTTACATTATGAACTGAAAAATTCGAAACATTCGAAATTTGGGCAATGTTTACATCAGAGGTCCTCGCATTGTTATGAGCAGAACCGATGCGCAGAACGGACTTGACTTCCACTTTAAAGTTTATTCTGAACTTAGTGAGTTGTTTAACTTTCGGTATAATATATCATTATTTTATAGACCCTCCACTCGGGGGATTCGGCGATATTTCCCTCAGTGATGATATTGTCCTCGGGGCAAAGCCTTAGTTAACCCCTCGGAAAATATCATAACTTCGGGAAATATTACGCCGAATCCCCCTCGCTCCGGGTCTATAAATGATAAGTGTAACATGATGTATATGATGTAACATGTAAAGATTGAGATTTGTTCTAACCAATGCAAATGCATAGAGAACTAAAAACGTTAAAAATAAATTAATCCTAACATAATTTAAGGCACAACCATACGATAAACGAGCAGAAATGTCTCTTAGTTTATTTATTCCAAAAGAACTCTCAAGAAATCAACCAGATCTAGATATATGTATTTTATGAAATAAAATTCGCTTATTTTACGTGAGCAAACACTAAGTCTAAGTAAAACATTTTGAAAAGAGTGGATTCTAAGTTGAAGCTGATTTTAAATTTACTATACATTCCAAAGCATAAAAGATTACAATATTACAAGATTTTTAATAAATAATGAAGAATATAACTGTTACATCATTACTGTCCATAAATAGCAAAAGCTAGTCGAGATGGACAGTAGTTTACATTAAGCATCTTAATTAGTAAACAAAACAAAGAATAATGAAAGAATAATCAAAGAATACTATTAATATTTCATACAGAAAGGGCATTGAAGTCGAAATGTGCAAAACATTTATGCTTTACCTCATATAGCTTAAAATCCGTAATATAAGATTAAAATTAATCATCTTAAAATTTTGATTTATATTTCTAAAATCAGTTTTTGGTTTTTCCAAATTGCTTTAATATAACTGAAATATCAATATATTCATCTTCCATTACTAACATTTGGAGAAGCTTGTCATGCATTTTTTGCCGAAAATTATGTTTTGAGTTTTCACGTAATTCCATAGGAATCACATTCCAAACTCTAGCTCCCGTATTTGCGAAAAATCTTTTTTGTAAATCAAAACCTGTATACTTGACATGAAAAATTTTCATTGAAGAAGATCGAGTGTTATATTCGTGTATCTTTTCAACAGAAGTAAACATCGCGAAAATATTTGGAGGGACATTTGATTTTGATATGTCGTACATTAGCATTGATATCGATTTAATATAAAGCAAGTTTATTGGTAAAATACTTGCAGATTGAAAGAGGGGGATTGCGTGAGACCGATAATGTGCAGAGTATATTAGTCGAATAGCACGTTTTTGAAGTTTAAGAAGTTTAAAAACATCTAGAATCGTGTCCAAATCCAACGAAACTGCAACATAACCCGAGCTGTGGGCAGTAATATACGCCTATATTTCCTAAAATCCCACGGTAACTGGTCGTTTCGTCCCCTTGCCGTTTCGTCCCCTTGCCGTTTCGTCCCAAGTTTTTTACGTCCCCGGTCGTTTCATCCCCTTGCCGTTGCGTCCCCTTCACGTTTCCTCCCTACACTAGATACCATTTTATCTATAACCTACTTCCTTAATACAATATATCTTAATAAATTTTATATGTCCAAAAAATTTAATTTCCATCCCTTAAGGGTTTGGCTTAATTTAGACTAGACAATCCTGGAAAAAAATTAGTAGACTTCTTAAATTTTCAAACTTTGTCCCCCTCCCCCCTTATACAATGTTGGTATTTAGGTGACATGTGTTGCAAATCCACCATTTACCTGAACCAACATTGTTTCGGCTTTCGGTTAAAGGTAAATAGTTGCTTTAATTGAAAAATGCTCACATTTTCATCACATGTTTTCAAATTTGGGTGTATTTTTCGAAAAGTCTACATATATTTCTTCCAAGATTGTAGCTGAAGCAGGGTTGAAATTTCAACCCCAGGGTTGAACTCGGCCCTGGGTTGAAAATTTTGTCATGTTATCGCGCGTTTGATTTTGATAGAGTTTTGTATTACAGACAGGGCTGAAATTTCAACCCGGTAAACAGGGCTGAGTTCAACCCCGGGGTTGGAAATGTTCCATGTAATCGGCCCTAGCCTCCTCCGCAGGCAACCAGTGTAGTTCTGCAACGTTATTTAACTATAAAATATTTATCAGGAACGTAGAAAATACAAGGAAATAGTTTTGAAATACGATATGATATTAATAAACAAGAAGCGTAAATTAAAAAGGCTTGGAGCAGAAATCCCATTACTTCCTACATTATCCACAAGCCTCCCTATTTTTCCGCTGCAGGCCTTTTTAATTTACGCTTCTTGTTTATTAATATCATATCGTATTTCAGAACTATATATTTCCTTGTATTTTCTACATTCCTGATAAATCTATTTTGAATATTACCAATATTTTGAATGTTACCAATGTCTCGCGTGTTCTCCTTTCCAAGTTTTCTTCGATAGAGAAAGCAACCCAGAATAACCATTGCTGTTACTAAGACAACCACAGATGCCACCACGATTCCGATAATGACACCAGTGTTATTGTCTGATGATGATGGTTTGGATGAATCTGGATAGAGCAAATATAAAAAAACAAAAGAGTTTAATTTGGTTATTTCATTGGTAGACTTGAATGATGTGATTTCTAATTGATGTGATTTTAATTTGGTTATTTCATTGGTAGACTTGAATGATGCGATTACAAACCCTAACATTCTAATATTTCATTGGTAGGCTATATATACAGTATTAGTTCGGCACTTTGGAGATATTTTAGCCAGAAAAAAAATGATAAAAGGCAGAGATGATAATTTTTTCCTTCTTGATCCTGAGCTAGTAAACCATGATCTCATAAGAGCCTGACTAATTGACCAATGAAATTCACCATTCAATTTTTGAACGTCGAATTTCATTGGTCAGCACCAAAAATGTACATAGACATGTTTACGCACAGGCGAACACACTAGTGAAGGATAATTAAATATCCTGCAAGAGGGTGGTAAATCCCAAAAAAATTTATGCCAAGTATGAAATTTGAAAAAAATTTAGGGAAAGAAAAAAACTCCTGCAAAATACATGGATTATGCAGAAATACATGGAAAAAATTCCCACACAGCTTCCCCACCATAAAAATAGTTCGACAAAGTTCCGAAGAGTTTATTTTAGGCCGCCGTGAAAAACAAAGACTGAACAAGTAGTAAGAAGTACGAAAGTGAAGTGATCAGGGGGGGGATGCTCTTCGATTTATAAAACACACATTGGAGTTGATCTTTGTGTTACATGAACACACTTACTATCATCATCTAGAATTGAGATCACTGTACTAGTTGTATTGACTGAGGCATCAGTTGCATTTAGCGTGAGTGCTAGAGATTCTGATGGTTCAACGATTTGGTCGTTGGTAATAAGGAGTTGAACTGACTTGTTGTTACTAACATCACTGGAGGTGAACGTAACTGCTGTTGTTAGTAATGAGTAATCAGCTGGACTCGTCGTAAGATCGTTCACACCAATGCTAAAGAGAAAATTTTAAACATATATAATAAGGCTGTCGCCTCCTGGAATGGAAAAATAAATTCCATCTTTCACCTCATGAAAATATTTTATATATTATTATAAACATTCATTATTTGTATATAATTCAATGTTATATCTAGCTTTACCACATTTCGCATGGTATACTGCATGCGGTATAATTAATAATATGATTGTATATACCCTGTCAACTAAATTGATCTTCAGTCATGTTGTCTTTTTACATGCATGTGTAATTTAATAATAATAATAATTTAATATATTTATTTAAAAAATTCATTAAAAATTCACGAGGAAAATAGAAAAGAAATGAATGTTTAATCAATGTTTGTAAATCGGATACACATTTGTCCTGATTTACATAAACTTCAGCTTTGATTTTCTCGGCTTAAACAAGTTTATTTTTAAAATTACTTCACCAATTAACTCATAAGATGCGTCATTTTTTAAGTACGATAAAACATTCGCATCCGACGTGTATCTGATATACAGACTCTCGCCTTCGGCTCGAGTTTGTACATCAGATACAGATCGGCTGCTCATGTTTAATTTTATCTAGTACATAGGCCCATAGAAATAATAGATATTTCTAATAGAAATAATAAATCATGTCTATTATTTCTTTGATAGCGCCATTTCCCGAAGCTCAAGGGGAAATCTAGTTTACTCATACCAGTTCTCTCGCTCATCTAGATTCAACGTTTGTAAGTTTGTTTATTATTCTTACATTTCGAGTGCCATAAAAATTCTTACCCAACAGATATATTTTTTTCAATTTCTCCATTTAAAACAAGTTTAGTCGTAACGAGACCAATATTCTCTGGCACCGAGTTCTCTGGAACTTTCCATGAGAGGGAAGCGACTATACGAAACGAAAAAACGTATTTTGATGTGATTGCTGACAGAATGGTATCAGGTCAACTACCCACGCAAAAATTTCACATCTTGTTAATTAACGATATGTGTTCGCAACGGGCTTGTAGTAACGGGCTTGTAGTATTTGCTGCCGAGCGCAGCGAATCAGCACACTATTCTTGACACGTGGTGATTTCTCCAGAGTCCACTCGACCCAGTCTTTCCCGCGATCTATGTATGGTCGAGATCTCGATCTTGTGTCTGTCAACAGGTGGGAAAATTGTCTGAGCATGGGCGTAAACTGCTCGGGTTTTAAGCGGGGGAAGAAGATATGCATGCTTCCACTTGGTTGATTTAAAAAACATAAACGTATCAGGTCAACTGCCCACGCAAAAATTTCACATCTTGTTAGACTTGTTAATTAACAATATATGTTCGCAACGGGCTTGTAGTAACGTTGTTATAGTATATTTGCTGACGAGTGCAGCGATGCAGCACACTTTTCTTGACATGTGGTGATTTCTCTTCTTCAGTGCAAAACAAAACTGAGAAAAAATTTCCTTTTAACATGTCGTCTGATAGCTTCAATAAAATGTGAAATTCAAACCAAAAATACTAATACTTCTTCTGTTATTTGGCTTATTTACTCCGACTCCTATGGTGAACTGCATATAGGTAATAAACTATGGAAACTACGATTATAGGAACTAAAAAAGGTGAAATATTTTGTGGGATACGATAAAGGCGAGATATTGAAAATGAGTAGGAAAGTATTAAAAAACTGGGGTCGCCCCTTGTCATATATTTTTCAGTCTGAGGCCGCCCCCAATTCAGGCAATTCTCGCCCACCGCCCCCCTCCCATTATTAATGACCGGTCCCTAATACTCCATCAATATTAAGTTCCTGCTTGAGGTTATTTGCCAATTGAAAACACACATTATGCAAGAAACGTCATTTTCGGCCATGTTTCAGCGAAGAATTCTTGACTGCTAATTTCCCGATTGGGCGACAAGTAAGGGACCGATAATTATTAATTATGGTGCGGGGGGGGGTACCAAAGAGAAAAGAGTTGGGAAAGCAAAATTTTGAGTAAGTAAAAGGTTGGGTAAATGAAAAACAAAATAACTCAAGGGTTGGGGTAGTAAATTTCAAAGGGTAATAAACATTTCCAAAGCACGACTCACTGAAATCACAGTTAACTGTGCTGAAATATTGGAGACTAAAAGGCAAGATCAACAATCAATATATGTTAATACAATATGTGAATCAATCAGAGTCACTATCTTGACCATTTTCCGTTTTGTTGGGAAACAAATGGTGTCTCCAAAGAAAGTACATGTGCAGACAACATGAAACTTTAGACTGCAGAAAATTTCACAAGCCGTTATCAAACGTTATCATGCAACAGAAGTGGTAAAGGATATTATTGTATGACAACTGAACTGAATGACATCCTTTTGTAAAGTTTTTGGCCAGGGGTGGGTATTAATTTTTTAATTGATATTTGAGGTTGGGTAATCAAGTTTTTGTCTTTTTAATGGTGGGATCAGCAAAATTTTTTCCACGAAAAACATTTCTCTAATTTCTCTTGTGGTCTTGATTAACATTTATTAACGTTCACGTCTGCTAGCTTTCTTTAGTATATTTCCTCTGCTACAGTAAGAGAAACAGGGTAGCGAAATCTGTGTTCTCGTTGTTTTCACAATTTGTGCTGGCAAAAAGAAAGCGTCCGCGATAAATTCGGTCTGCGACGACAATTTTCTCACCTGTAGTCTGTCTGCCCAGCACAGTCTCCGGGATAAATAGATGAATATCATCAATTGTCAAAAGTGCACAAATAGATGATAATCATCTATCTAGTGGAAACCGAAATTTAACCCTAACCTCTGACCTCTAATCTTAATCTTACCCTAATCCAATCTTAATCTGACACTAATCTAAACTTGATGACCTTTCAGTTTTTAAACAGGGACGTTTGTTAAATGAGGGGAGCAGTCAAAACAAGATTTTGTATTAGCCATTTCCCAAAGTCCTGGTTCTAGTCGCGCGAATCCCATGTTGGAGGGACAAGAAATATGGCAGCACACATTTAATTAAATTAAATGTTTAATGTTAAAAGGAGACGTTTGATTTATGGTCGTCTAAAACGGTGATATTTGATGGTAGATACTTCTACTCTTTCACATATTTGACGCCTGTGTCTATATATGTTGTCCGTCCAAACGATCCCAGAATGCACTGGGAAAAGGCTAATTGCTCACGCATCTCCATGTGCTGAAGATGCACACACATAAAGTAACAATGATCTGCCCACTGGGCCAAAAAGTAACACTGATCTATCCATTGGGGTAGAGAAAAATTCTGTGATACCTAATATCTCATGCTACCAATTATTTTTTCTATAGTTTTGCAATTCTAACGCCGGGATGTGAATGGTGCCATGTTAACTGCTAGATGAAACCAAATGGTTGTTACAGTCAAAATATAATATGGATTGTTACATTGCATGTAATAGGATGGGATCTTCTGGATTAACAGAAATGCATTCCTATTAAAACAAAAATGTTGATTTCAACAAGATTGTATGGATAATTTATTACATCTAATGCATTAATATTGGTATGGAATCTGCCATGTATTATTAAATTACCAGGGTGCGATAATTCAATATTTTTAGCCGTACCTGACTGGTACTCCGACAACTTTTGCCGCGTACCTGATCTGGTACAAACTTAAGAGTCAAGGCGTACCTAAGACTACAGTACTTCCGAGTCATGCGTTCTTATACCTATACGTATAGTTTACTCGACGGTGTGACTCGAATGCCATCGCTCATTTACAGTGGATTTACCGAGGGTGCTAACAGTCTGACCTCAGAAACATATAGTGTAGTTTTCCTGGGCCGCCTAAAAATAACCTGTGGTTCCGGTTTCATATCGCGAAAAAATTAGGGTAGGTAGGTCGGAAATAAAAAAATTTTTGAATATTTTTTTCATGGTTTTGGCGTTTTTTTGCTGGGCGATTTTCAGTAGAGTCCCGACATCAATATTATAGTTATTATTGTGACAACAGAGTAACAGACGCCATTTTGGCACGCTGAGCGAGCAGCCCGCAACCACTCGGAGAAAATAGGGTTGCACGGTGAATCTTGTTGAAAAAAATAATAGGGTGGGCAGAAAAAATAGGGTCGGTCGGAAAACCGGAACCACAGGTATTTTTTTTAGGCCTTGGTATATAGCATTGACAATTAAGCCCAGGTCACCCCACACAACGATAACTATACGATAACTTGTAAACACACGATGATTGGTCAATAAAATTATCTTGGTGTCCATGCACACTACAACGAAAACGATAAAATTATCGGCGTTTGATGATAACAATTTTAAAATCGCTCACCGGAGCGATTTTTTTTAGTCGGACGATGACAATAAATTTTTTGATCAAGGGCAAAGATAACCTTTTGGCTTTTTTCATCCCAAAATATGTTGGATGCGTGGAATTTACATGTACAGCCAAAGTTCTTCACGGTTTTGAATACTTTGGCAGGTTTGCTAGTTATTGCTAGAAGGAAAATGTAAGTACGCGAATAGCAAATTTCCGCGAATTATCGCACCCTGAAATTACCGTACTTGTCTCCAATCTACCATATGGATGTCAGGAACATTGTATGTCAAGATACTACAATACAGGTTTGTAGTATCTTGACATACAATGTTCCTGACATCCATATGGTAGATTGGAAACAAGTACGGTAATTTAATAATACATGAACAGTAACCTAACAAGTTATTGGACAGTAATGATGGCCAACAATGGACACTACATGCCAAATTAATACGACAATCTGGAATGATGTCAAGTCAATAGCAATGGACATTGTCAAATCTCAATGGAGAAACGACGCCCGATATTAAAATCATTAGTTCAAAACTTAACAAAGTAACAATGGGTAACAGTGGTACTAAGTTAGCGAAACTATCAGGCTTAAAAATATAGATTAAAAATAAACACATGGCAGACATTGTGTCTGATGCATAATGGAAAATTTCAGTATTTATCAACACACTATATTAGCCTAAGTTCATAACCATCTGTTAGTAACACGGTGTTACAACATAAAATGAAACCCGCCCATCCATTGAATAAATAAAAATATCACTTACAGTCGTCATCCAGAATAGTAACTGTTGCTTTGGATGTTACCACTTTCGTGTCAGAATCTGAACTTGTAATAAATACAAGAAATTGTTCATCATTTTCCGCTATTTTATCGTCAAGAATTCTGATAGTTACTGGTTTCTGTGCAGTTTCTCCAGCTTGGAATGTTACAGTACGCGTTAATTGTTGAAAGTCTGTACCACCAGTGGCGGATATGGAAGAAGTGTATAAACTAAAAATTAAATGATTTTATTTAATCAGATATTAATTAAGGCCTTTCAGTAATATTTGCAGTGATTGCTGGATTGGAATTCATATGTATAGTTTCGTAGTTATAACGATCTTTGTTTTGTTAGAACAAGCGGTTAAAACTCAGAAAGGTTCATATTCTTGAGAAATGTTCTGTTGACTGCACTGGCGTAAGGCTACCTCCGGAGGCCCCCAGTTAAATTTTTCTGTGTGGGGCCGGGGCCCCTGTTTTTCCAAAAAGTTGGTGAGCGGGGGGGGGGAAACATTTATCGAAACATATGCATTGAAAAAAGGGTTCAAAATAGTTTTTCCGGATTATGACAATAAAATAAAAAGGGGTCCAAATTTCACTAATTCCTGCTTTTCTGGGCCACCCGTTGCAGATTTCCGGGCCTTCTATAACTAAGACTCGGGGAAATTTGCCCAGCAAAAGTGTTATGGTCGTCTTTGCCGGGGGCCCCCGCCTGAGGGTCTTTGGACACCCTCCAGTTACGCCACTGCTGTTGAGCAATCCGGAGCAATGCTAAGCTTGTTTTCGAGTATAGCTATTTTTAAGGCAAAGTACAGCAATTTCATTGCTATATAGTATCACTTCATATTTTATAAACGTGATCGCCTTGCTTACCTAACTTGAATGACATCGTCAAATTGATGATGAACCAATTGAACAAATATAACAACGATCCCATTCGATTCTCTGACATCGTAAGTGATTGACGATAAAGAGATTATAGTTTTAACTTGAAAAAATAAAGATATAAATATATGTTATTGACTGAGCAAGAGGTTCGAACTGTTGCTAGGATATTATCCTACTAATCGGACCAAAGAAGGTCAGTCAAAAATGTTATTTATTATACACTGTCAGTATGGCTATAAACAATGTTTATAAATTAAGTTCTTTACAACACTAAGTTATATTGCATGAACAAACTTACTATGAAGGTCGCCTTTTTATAGTATTATTTTACTAGGAAGGAGTTATTTAAGTTTTTCTTCTCTAGCGGTCGACCATGAGATCAGTGGTTGGTCCGCACTGCAGGTTAACTAAGCAATCAAAGTGGGACCATATAATAAATATGTTTATGAATAGCACAGGGTCCGGTTAATGATCATGAGAAATTATTTTTAATAACGTAAAAATATATGGTGAGCATCGCTCATGCGCATAAATGTATACATGTGCGCATAAATGTATGCAACACCATCCAAACAAACAAGTTAATGATAGAATTCTTCCAAGAATTTTTAAGAATTTTTACCGGTTCACTACAATTCTACAACGTACAAAGTACTGTGAAATAATACTGTTTACTTACAGCAGTTCACAATTGGTGCTGTTGAAAGCTGGACACAGATTGGATGAAGGGCTAATTTCTCATACTCGCTACAAAGTCGGAACGCACTGACATTCCCCCAGGTTATTTCAGTAATGAACTCAAGGAAGACTTGATTCCAACCATACAGACATCCCAATTGCTGCACAGTTAAACCTATGTACTGTGAAACGACCTCTGCCACAGTTCTATTCCAGACTTGCAGGAGAATTAAGTTATCTGCTGCCAGCAGGTTTTCCAAAGGCGTGGTTTCAAATATTATCTTCCTCTGGACGATAGGTATAATGTTTACCCTAAATAGTGTGTGATACTCTGGCAATGGTATCGCATAAATATCTGTCTCATTTCGTCCAAGCAGACACGTCGCTAGTGTGCTTGTGTTTACTCTTTGTGAGAAATAGACACGCGAAGAATTGACCAGAATTATTGGATTCCCGTCGGCCTGGTTAGTCACTACAATACGACTACCAGCGGCCAAGTTCAACGACAAAGCATCTGCTGCATGAGCAAAAGAAGCTTGGACAACAGCAATAACAATCCTTGGCCATTCAAAAGACGGAAGTGTTGAAACTACGTGCATGTCAACTACACCAGGTACACCAAGTAATAGAGACAAGTTAGAAATAGAATATCTTTCGATTAATGCTCCCAGTATTATAGTATGAAGTTCCACCACAGACAAGTTAGATAGTTGTGATAAAGGTGCCTTTGTTAGACTGATTAATTCATTATAACTATACCCATACGTCGTAAGTAACAGATTTCGAAACGTAGGGTTATTGATTTCCAGTAATGGTCCAAGTGTTCCTGTTACATTTGAGTTCTTTAACGATGCAATTACTTCAGGAAGAGAGCAGGTTTTGATGAATGATGTGTTTTGACTTGCTGCAGATGCAACATGACTTACTGATGGTATTTCTACCCAGATACCTTCGTTTGTAACCAACTGAAGAATATCATCCATAACGAACCACCTTGTGATATTAGTAACAGTTATAAAGATGTATAGAGAATTCCGGAATTCAACTGCGGTCAGAGCATTAAATTTAGCTTCAACTTCGTTCAGAGATCTTGATAGAACGTAAGCAACGTTGCAGGTCGGCTCTGTTGCTCCTTGCCCAAACAACAGTTTAGATACAGCAAGCAACGAGTTTGATGTTGTGACAGAGCACTGAGATAAGTAGCTTGACAATGGTATATTTTCAATAGCAAACAGTTGAGGCTTCTGCCAATCATACAGAATTTCCAGATCACGAAGATTGAAATTAATCGAAGAACCACCAGCAAAAGACAACATTGCTTCAGCTACGCCTTGGGCTTGAGTTAATCCTGCGACGACATAAGCAGTATCAAGTGACCTTGTTTCAAACAGGTTCTTACGAGCTTGAAGTAATACAAAGTTCGGAAAGAAAGTGTTGGTCAAATTATCAAGTGTGTAGCCGTATAACGTAGCCATGTCCGTATGAAGAAGCTCGGCCATTTCTGACACAGAAACACCAAAAGTATTAGCCCTACATTGAACTGCTTTCTTTACAATTTCTTGTACGAACAATGCCCATTGGTCTTCCAAAAGAATCGTGGAGGACATGTTGAGTCTTTGTTCAATTACAGTCATATTAAAGCAGTAAATATCTTCCAGTGTTTGAACAATCAAATTATGCATCTCCAGCACTGTGATAGTATCAGGATTTCCTTTCAGATTCTCCATGGTTTTTCCAGTGACTCTCTTGATTTCGCTTATCTGTAGATCCAGACACCATTTAGTACAGTTGTAAGCAGCCAAATCATCAATAAGCAGTAAACCTCGTTCTTCCAGCACGAAAACATTGCTTATTACACTAGACATTGATGAACTGAGGATTCTTGCCAAGTCATGTATTGTTGATAAGGTCAAATCATCATAGATTGTAGCTTTGGCATAAAGTTCTACGTTTTCTGGTCGGGCTACTTCTGCATCTTTAAAATCCGGTCGAGGAACACCCACAATTGGGGCAATGGAAAGAGGGACCCTTATTGTTTTAAACGTGGCGGAAAAAGCAGGAGCAGGAGTAAATGCAAGGCCGACGAAGAGACTCCATATTATCAGGTTGGAAATCATTGTTAGACCTACGAGACAGAATAAATCGTTAAATACTAATAATTGTATCGTTTCTTTGGACTTCTTTGCTTTGTAAAGGGTGGTTATCACTGATTACGACTAGAACTAACCATCTTTTGTAAGTCTCGCTTAAAATTAATTTAAACTTAAAACCAATCATATACCGAATTACCGGACACACCCAGGGTCTTTTTTCCACTGTTAAGGTGCATATGTTATGAACAAAACTGATATGAAAAATTAGGAAACTGAATCAGTTATTATTGTAATAATATACATAAAGATATTAAGTGCAGTTAATCCCAAACAGCAGTGCAATTTTCTGTAATCACAGTGCAATTTTCTGTAATCACAGTGCAATTTTTTGTAATCACAGTGCAATTCTCTGTAATCACAGTGCAAAATTCTGTAACAAACTGATCTGATTGGTGGAAAAACATTGTGATGATTAAATCAACCAATCAGTTTAAAGCAATTTAGTTTAAAGAAGTAACGGTCACAGATTGCTTCAAAACAAAACAAACATGGCGCCGCGCTACAGTAAAGTAAAAGTTGCCTTCGCGTGGAAAAATATGGCTTTTATCTTTATTTTTAAATGGAAAAGCATTTACCTTAAACAAGACTAACAAAAATTACATAGTTGAGTGGAATTTTCAAGCTATTAGCGTTGTATAATGTGATATAACAAAGCCAGGAAAAGTTTGCCGGTGGAATGTTCGCTTAACGCGTAAGTTAAAACTACAATTGTCTCGAACATTTTTATGTAAATTATTAATAAGTAATAGCATGGTTTCTCGTGAAATTTGGATAAACATGCACTCGTGAGTTTTTCAAAGACCTCAAATAGCACTCGTCCTTCGGACTCGTGCTATTTTGAGGTCTTTGAAAAACTCACTCGTGCATGTTGTATCCAAATTGCACTCGAAACCATGCTATTGCCTATACTTATTATTAGCATGACAAAATTACTGGATGCTGATTGGTTGAGAGGAGTACAATTATTTCATTAATTGTACTGCAGTACAATTAATGATTTTCTCAAAACAAACAAAATGGCGGAAAGGTATTTTAAACACAAATGTGAAATGAAATTGCTGTGGAGGAACTAGATAAAAATACGAACAAAAGCACTAAATTTTGCTTGAACAAAAGAACTAAATGAAAATACAAACAAAAGCATCAAATTTTGGTTGAAAGTCCGGCAGGACTGGGCTTTGGCGAGAGAATATCTGAATATGATGTTGACATTGATAAGTATCCAATTTTGTCATGCTAATAATAAACACTTGTTTATGCGATGTTGCTCGTACAAAACCCCTAATTGTACATCGCATGATTACCTATACTAATAGTTCCTTAATTAAGGATTTGATTAACAAGCCTTTATAAAACGTCCTGACGGGAAATTTTGCGTTCCGGGCATTTCCACTCGACTCAGGAAAATTTTCCGCAGAAAGAAAATTTTGTAAAATGTGCTTGGCCGACACAAATTATTCCGTCAGAAAAAATTTTGAAGTTCAAAATTTTCAACTTTAAAAATGATATTTTTGCGGGAAAATTTTCTGTCCGTGGAAATTTTTCTTGAGTGGAAATGGGCCTTAACGCAACCTTGCAAGACGCATACACATTACATTGTGTAAGAATGTATGAATGTTATTTTGATAAAGCATACTTTGGAGTTTAGTTGAAAATAACATTCATAATAACATGGTAAAGTTAGTTTGGGAAATTATTAAGTTAACGTCATTTATACTCTGGCTCCCTTTGGTTTTGACCAAAATCACAACCCTATATCCCTAACCCAAACCTCATTGTGTTTAACATGAAGATATGATCGCGCGAGAAATTAAACGCGAAAGTTGAATTAACTTATTCGAATGGCTGAATTCCTATATGTGTTATAGCTGTTCATTTGTCATCGAGTTTTAGATGCTGATATCACACAAGTTCCGTGAATAAAACTGAGAATGAGTCCACTGTTACAAGAAATGTGCACTTCGCGAGTAATTATCATCAAAATTTTAGCGCAGAAATATTTATGAACATGCATGAATATTAACTAGATTCAAATTAGCCAACCATATTGCTTTATTTTTCTCACATGCATGATAAATACCTTGGACTTAATCAAAATTAATTCACCTCATATTAAATGGTGATTTATTCATATGAGATGTCATTTCAAATATAAATAATTCGGATCAAATTGCGCGGACTTGAAATCTAGTCCAGTCCTCATAGTCAGATTTGAAATATGTATTACTTAAAAATTGATGCTTTGGAAGCATATTTATATGCGCGCCACAGAGATATTACAAATGCAAACACGAATTTTGATGTTATCGAATATAGATTGAGCTGGATACCACAGCTGCATGAACCAGACATATAGTGATATATGGTGTGGTGAACTGGACCACGCGCAAAACAAGGGCACCACAAGACTGCGAAGACATACTATTTTTGTACAATGCTTATACAAACTGACAACAGACCAACTGACTCACGCAGCGAATATAAAGCGATATGCTTAACTTCGTTTGGGTACCGCAATATATACAGGGTGTATAAAAGACTGCACAGTTAGGAAATGTCTGAAAATTTATGAAAACTTTATGCAACCATGGGTAGTTTGGGGTCTGTTGGTATCGTCAACTCTAAAATTATTTTTTCAAGTAAATTTTCGAGTACAGGAGGGTTGTCTTTAAAAACCACTCTAAAAATGACTTGCGCACAAAAATGGAAGGCTTAAAACGCAATTTGTATTCGTAAGGTGAAAATTAGGACTTCCAAAGTACGAGAGCTGGTGGTAGCCTACTCCAACACTCGACCTCTACAACTTGCCGTGTTAGCCGTCCACGCACAATTTATTCAACACATGACCAATTTTATGCATGATTGATTTTATTCATGATTGATTCTTTACAAAAAGCGGTTTAAAAATTATGCGTGAAAGACTAGTATGGCAAAAAAGTTAACGCCGCGCACTTCGATCATTCATTAAACCACCTTGTATGTTCGTACCCTATGAATTCAAATTGCGTTTTAAGGTAATTCCGCAGTAATTGTTCCCGAAATGAGAATGTGCTGAAACTTCCCAGGCATGGAGTTTATGATATACCACCTATACCCCAATATGGCGCCATCTTGACACTCATTACGAGTAACAGCAAAATCACAACAGCCCGATATTCACTGACGTTTTTAGCGCGTATTTTGCTTTAGCAAACCTATCTTGTAATTATTTTTGAAAAAATATTGTGTTTTGAGCAAAATGAAACTACCAACGTGTACAATTGTGATCAACAAATGTCTTTTCCACATTTCTTTACATATCTTTCTTTGAGAACATGCATTGATGAAGGATTTTTTTCAAGATCCAGAAATGATTATCTTTTAATTTCGGATACGAAATGTAAAATGCATTAAAGAAATAAATTATCAGTTAATAAACGGGGGTCACCGATCTTTTTAGGGAATTGTGGCATTAAAACGTGAAATACAAGTAAATAAATATACTACATACACAGGGAACCCTAGCTACACTTTTGTATGCCTTTTTTGAAAACATTGATTTTAAAGTAGTTCTTTGCCCGAATGTAACCAAAGATGTTTTGAAGTAACATAAAATTGTCATAAAATGATTTTTTTAAACTGTACGTATAATGGTGAAATTATAAGTTATATGATGTGCCGCGCAGTAAAAGTGCGCAATGCAAAACTGCGGAACTACCTTAAGCCTTTCTTTTTTGTGCGCAAGCCATTTTAAACAACCCTCCTGCACTCGAAAATTTACTTTTCAAAATAATGTTAGTGGTTCCACAAATTTTGCGGCATTTTCGAACTCTGCAGTTTTTCATACACCCTGTAGAACAGCTCTAAATTAGAAACTAGAATAGCTAAATATTTCGACATTTTTTGTATTGCACATGCACCAAAGTCCTGGGTCTAGTCGCGGAAATCCCGTGTTGGAGGGACAAGAAATATGGCAGCACACATTTAAATTAAAAGTTTAATGCAAAAAGGAGATATTTAATTCATTTTTGGTCGTCTAAAAAGTTGATATTTGATAGTAGATACTACATATTTGACGCCTGTCATCATATATTTTGTCCCTCCAAACGATCCCAGAATGCACTGTGATCTCTTTTGGGAAAAGGCTAGTTGTGATTCAAAATCCTTTTCGTGGGTTTCAATTACCTAATATATATTCCAAGATGGACTTTCATAAGTCTGCATCGCTCACTTCAAGGCAATTACCAGCCACATCAATGAAACATTTTTCTAAGAAAACCTTTTTCTAAGAAAAGTGGACTTTCTGAGATACATATGTAGATCTTAGAGTTTTAGAGAGAAATCAGATACATATCGATATCAATAGTAAGTAAATTGTGGATTTTTGGCAAACATATCATGCATTCGTCAATCGTCTAACGTACACTTTCACGTATCAATCTCCTTAGCTAAGGAACAGACCATTAGAAAAGTCAGGGAGAGGGTTCTGTCCATGCTTTATTTATTTGTCCATGTCCATACGATGTGCTTGGTGTGCATGTTTTTCATATTGCTATTTAGTTGAATGCGAAAGTTATTTTCTATATATTATACAAATAATGAATGTTTATGAGTGCAATGGTAAGAATATTTTCATGAGGTGAAAGATGGAATGTTCCATTCAACGAGGCGACAGCCGAGTTGAATGGAACATTCCATCTTTCACCGAATGAAAATATTCTTACCATTGCACGAATAAAAACATTAATTATTTGTTTTATATAATACCAGAATAGACTAATATTAAAAGGTTTACTGTAAGCTTTCGCCATTTTGACGAGTCGTATTTGCATTAAATCCCATTTACTGAGTTTCGAATATCGGGTTAAAATAAACTGCGATCACCGTACGAGAAGCATTTTGACGGATGCGATTTATCGAAAACACAAAGAGTGCAATGGAACAAAACGTATAGTACAATTGCACTCGCAAGAGTGCAATGGAAC